CACACATATCACACACATCACACATATCACACACATCACACATATCACACACATCACACACATCACACACATCACACACATCACACATCACACACGTCACACACGTCACACACGTCACACACATCACACACATCTCACACATCACACACATCACACATCACACACATCACACATCACACACATCTCACATCACACAAATCTCACATCACACATCACACATCACACACATCACACACATCACACATTACGTCACACTTAAACACAACGTCTCTATGTTCAGAATCAGCTGAGTGGACGTTTTTGAAGCTTACGTAGTGCTGGCTCGGGTACGAACGTTTCTCGAAGCCCAACAGCTCCACGTGTCTGACGTAGGTCTCCTCCATGCTGAGATACAACCGACAACTGAGAGGACACACAGAGGAGTACAGGGCTTATATACTGTGTGTGTGTGTGTGTGTGTGTGTGTGTGTGAGTGTGTGTGTGTGTATCAACGCACCAAAAGAGTCACTTCCTCTTTACACGGCGACGAAAGTCATTTAACTTTATCGCAGAAAAAAGAGAAACGAGGAACTACTTTTTCTTTTTAATCAACATCTGTTGAAAAATGCCGATGATAACAGCGCAAAACAGCAGGAGTCAACAGCGTCAACAAAGCCAGGAGAAGCTGTGACAACAGCACACACAGTCATTAGACTTCACTCCTCATCTTTAGATAATAGCCACCGATTTCACTGCTGGATCTCTTGATGGAAAAAATATAAGATTATTTAATAAGTTCTACAGGTCTGTTAAATAATTTGTTCTTTAAAATGTCACAACATGGAAAATATTGATTCCCGGTTCATGTTTCGTCCGACAAAACAGCCCAAAACCCAAAGACCTTTACTTTATAATGATGTAAAACAGAGAAAAGACGATAAATATTCATGATTGAGAAGCAGCAACAAGGAATGTTTTGGTATTTTTGCCTAAAAAGTGACTCAAAAACAATCAAAGTAGTTGCTTATTGGGTTTGTTTTGTTGGTAAAAGTTGATTTCTTCACATTCAGTCATTTTTGTTTTTCTGCTTCGGTGACCGTCTGAAATATAAATAAACCAAATATCTGTTCCTCTGCTGCTAAAGGAGGAAGTTGATTCATGTGGGATTGTTTGCGTTTCTTTTGTGCTCGTGTTCCTCTTCGTCTGTTTGCTGAACAAGTTGAGCTGAAAGACACACGAGAGACACGAAGAGCAGAGACAACAGACGAGCTGTGGATCAACAGAAACAGCCGGGTGGGGAATTCTCAACTTCCAGGAAACTTTGTTTCACCGTTAAAGTGAGTACGGTGTGTACATAGTGTAGTAGAGGACAAGTAGAATACACAAGTATTACAACCACAACATCAGTAACAATAAAGATGATACATTCAATAACAAACCACAACCAGACACACGGTTCAGATTATGTTTTTATTATGTTAAAATCAGCTGTAAGAAGTATTTCTCTGTGATTCTGCCACCGCCCGACGATGTCCCCAGTCCGGGTCAGCAGTCCCCCCCCCCCTGCTGAGAACAGCCTGGGGCAAGCCCTGCTTTCCCTTCCTGAGCCGTCGGATGGTTTGCCAGAACCTCCTTGAGGCCAACCAAAAGTCCTTCTCCATGGCCTCCCCGAACTCCTCCCATGCCCGAGTTTTAGCATTCGCGACCACCGCAGCTGCAGCCCTTCTGGCCTGCCGGTACCTGTCAGCTGCTTCGGGAGACCCCTGGGCCAACCAGGCCTTGACGGTCTTCTTCTTCAGCGTTGCCGCCAACTCTTGGTCTCTTTTGGCCAACTCTTGGTTTGTTGGTCTCTTCTGAGGAAGAGACCAACAAACCCCCTCTGGTGGGGAGATGGCGACATCTGCTGCTCGTTTTTCTACGTTACACACATCGAAGTACAGAATCAGTTACTGTATTTAGTGTATTACGTCATCACCTACTGCACATCAGTTTCCATTTTTCGTAGTGTAGTGGTTATCACGTTCGCCTCACACGCGAAAGGTTCGAAACCGGGCGGGAACACATTCTTTCCACTTCGGGGTCATCTTTGAACCTTTTTTATCTGTGGCACAAATTCTGGCGATTTATTCATTCAACCTCCTGATCCGGGATCTAGGATGAAGAAAGACAGGGAACGGGACGAGCTTTTGGTTTGGTACCTGAACGCAACACTCTCAGAGTTTCTGTATCGAGCTGATTCTAGAATGTACAAAAACACAATGCCCCTAAAACATTATATATAAAACAAATGACCAGTACATTAAACATACAGTATACATATATACATACAGTAGATGGTGTATCCATAAACATATTTACGATATAAGTGCTGAAACAATAATCATCATTATGTCAGGATTGCTGCTTCTCTGAATATCTGTTGGATTTGGAAAAAACTATTAAATAAATGAATGAAAAGGATTGTTGTTTGATACGCTGAATTAAAAGTATAAGTAAATAAGTCAGTCCAGGTGATTTTTATTAATACAATCTAGATATTAACTATAAACACAGATGTTAGGAAAACACTGAGCCACAATACAGACAGTTATATCCTGAACATATTGTATTTATTCTAGTGCAATAAATATATACATTCTAGTGCAATAACTGTATTTATTTTGATGCAATAACTTATATTTATATGACGGTGGGACGTCTGCCACTCAAAGGGGACAAACAGCGCCCCCAACATCACAGACATCTGACAGCCGTAGTGATCAGGAGTACCATCGAGAATGAATGGAGAGAGTTAAGAGAGTTAAGACTTATATTTCCACAGATTATAACTGTGTCATTTCATTGTTCATTTCATTCTTCAGATAAGTCTTCTGGTGGTTCATCACAACGGGTTGTGATTTCTGAAACAACCTCTTCCTCTAGGATCTAGATAGGAAAGATCTGTAGTGTGATGTAGTGTGATACATCTACTTTGAAGGACTGCGGTACATGGTTATAATCTGAACGCACTTATCGCACCAAGTTTCCGTAGTGTAGTGGTTATCACGTTCGCCTAACACGCGAAAGGTCCCCGGTTCGAGACCGGGCGGAAACAGTTTTTGCTGCAGAGGAAAAAACAACGAGCTAAAATTCAAATAAATCATCGGGTTGTTCTCCAGTGGCATGTATAGATACACTACCTTCGTTCAGTGCATTGGCACGCTGTAGTCAGTGACTTTATTTGTTTTCTTAACTGTATTAAGTACATTCAGCATGTAATCAAGATAATTTGCTGTAGTCCCAATTTATAGATGTTCCCTTAACGCCTCGCAAGTGGGCGAAGCCGGAGCCCGGAAGCTCCCCAGAGACAGAAACCTGCAAAAAGAAACTGTCGCTTTTTATCATTCTTAACATATTTAAGAGTGCAATACAGGAGTCTACAAGAGAGGGCATGTGCAAGGGAAACGTATTAAATAGTCTGAATGTTAAATAAACATCTACAGACATTAGATAGATACACAGTCTGTTTTATAATCGGTTCTTGAACGCATCACTCACATAGCGTTTCCGTAGTGTAGTGGTTATCACGTTCGCCTCACACGCGAAAGGTCCCCGGTTCGAAACCGGGCGGAAACACATATTGCTTTTTTTAATCTCCAGAAAACACCGTGAGAGCTAAGGAGCAGATAAAACGTGAATGAGCTCTTACGAGTATAAACATTCGTTCAATTACATTCAAATATACATGTGGACATTAGGCTAGTTAAGATAAAATGTCACTAAACATGGTCATAAAGCACAATAAACAGAATACCTTGTTCCCGTTCCAGCTAGGAGCTTAACCGTGAAGGAGGAATATCTTACCTTTTCTTTACACCGCCAATTATCCAAATTTTTTTCATGCGAAGTCAAGTTTCTGCTCTCTGACGAGATTTGTATCTGCTTCCGGTTACGCCAGAAGGACTTCAAAATAAAGGACCCGAAACGTAAAAAGGCACTAAATGTCAATAAATGCTGACAGGAAGTGATTATGTTAAGTCATTTACACCTGTTTGATAACATGTTTTCATTCTCATGGTTTAAACGTGTTTCTCTCTGTTGTCGTGGGTGTAATTAATCAAAACATTGAAACAGCGCTCTTGTCCCCATGATGTGGCTAACAACGGTACTGCCTCCTGTATGTGTATTGCAGTTAAATTGCATTTATTTATTGTTTTTCTGTTTTCTTCTTTAGGTTACTGAGATATTTACGGCTATTAAGAACCCTGAAGACCCGCTACGACCTCCACATGGTAGGACTAACTTTAAACAATGTTTATACTGAACATCAAAAACTACAGGCATGACTCAGTCAGTACAATCTTTAGATATGACTCATAATACTGCAGTCTCCAAAAAATATTTATAATTTTAATATTTATAATAAGAAAAAAAGCTCTGAGCTAATGAAACCATACTGAAGAAGTATTACTTCTAGTATCTCAGGAGTGGATATCATTAAAAAAACTGTAAACTGTGACGTTAGGTTTTCTTCTCACACACAGACGTTGTGATTGTTGTTTATTCAGCTTGTTTTCAGGAGGTTAATAATCACAGAAACACTCAGAAAAGAATAAACTACAAAGATCATTCATCTTCACATTTGACATGAACGTCCACCTGGACTCAAAGATGAACCGACTAGAGTTGGCTGGTTAAAGTATGAGGTCATTGCGACCACGCGACACACACAGAATCGATGTGCGTTCTATCACAAATATCTAATAAGATAAAATAAATAAAATAAAGATTACATGTTGTAAAGTTAACAAAGAGCAAATAAAACAAACGTCCTCAAACTAACACAACAAGAACACGTGAGGTTTGGAGTCAAACCCTTCTGATGTTAAATATTTGAATACTTATTGAAAGGATCCAGCGGTGTGTAATAGTACACAGACTTTGGAGGGGACAATTATTTATTAAAAATGATTTATTCATCTATTTATTCTTTAACATCCGTTTGGCTTTTTGTCTGTAGCTGTTGTGGCTGAAATGAAGAGAAGAGACTCTTCTTCTTGGAGTCGCAACCAGCGGGAAGTGTTTTAATGAGCACACGGCAACATACAACAAATCCAAAGTATTAGTTCTTACAGCTTATTCTTATAGTCTAACTTCAGCCCCCTTTATGTCGCTTTCCACCAATCAAACCCGTCGCTTGAACCACAAACAAAGCACATCTGGTCCTCCTCATCATGTCATGCTCTCATCCCTTCAGCTGGGTCAAGATGACCTTTTGGCAGAACACACAATTCATGTACAGGAAATGTTTGGAATCAAGTTGGAGTGATGTATTTCTATTTGTCTGGCGCCTCTTTATCAGAACCCTCTGTAAGGCCCCCACGTCTGGGCGTACAGCCAATCACACCCGAGGGAAGTAGTGCAAGAGTTTACACTGCTACTAA